CATTATCGTAACGAATGATTACTTGTTGATGACATTCTGAACTGTATCCACTTTTGTGCCATAAGTATGCATAAATACAAAATCTACAACGTCCTTCCTATCATTCTGCGCTTTTTTTTTGGAAGTATTTTTAGTCATTATTAAGGCCTTTGAAGGTCATGATCACATAGCTTTTCATGTCTTGATTATTGGATCATTTAGTCATTCATACTGGCTGCTGATGAGCGAGCTAACAAAGTGAAGAGCTTCCCCGGAAATACCAGCGAAGAGCATAAGAAATGTCAAGCTGTCGCAGCTGCAACCGGTTAGTGCTTAATTGCAGATAGAAAAGTTAAAGCATCTTTTACCTTTTTTACAGGCACAAGAATCGAACTGAGCGAGTCGAAAGACGGCTCCCTTACCGTCGTAATCAAAGGACTACGTGCTAAGGTTGAGGATGCTCATGCTCGTCTTGTGCGCGATCTGCAGACGCAGGCTAGCCGCGATCTAGACATCCCCAAGGACCACCACAGAAAACTTATAGGTTGGTTTGATGACGATGTTTGCTAGTTTTCTTTCGGTACTAGTACTGTTATAGGCAAGGAAGGAGCAACGCTTCGTCAGCTAGAGGCTGATACTAACTGTCGCATCACCATACCTAGCCGGGACACTCCTTCGGAGACTATAAAAATTGTAGGACCTCGTGAAGGCATCGAGAAGGCTGTGGCTTACATAAAGGCTGTGTCGGAAAGAGAGGTTAGTGTTACACTTACACTTTTGATCACATGATTGGTGGCGCCCGAGGTGCCGCCATAAATTTCGGTCATATCTTTATTATCACTAGCACTGATACGGGTGCACCATGGCGATATGTGTCGTAGGGGAATGGAGATATGGTGACTGCTGCGTGCAGGATTGGGTTAATTGGAAAAGCTCAATTTTTGGTTGATTGTGGCTAGGTGCTTTAGTCTCCAGTATTGTGCGGGAGCTCTGTAACGAATATCAAAAGCGAACTACCTTTTGAACCTTCACAGTGTAAATTTGATATAGCTGTCATGTTGGTGTCGGCCTCCCTACATCAGCATGCAAGCCACTTCACAGCGCGCGTTTTGATGAAAGCTGTGAATAAGTAAAAAAATTGACACTCTTCATCATAGTAAAAGGTATTCTCCGATCATCAATGCATCGTCGAAACCAGCGTGCCAAGCTAAGGATTGCTATTTTGAAGTAAAGATTACTCACCAACCATTCAAATTTATCACGAAGATACAGTCAAATCATTTCATATGATCATGTGTGTCACT